TTTGTAAGGAGTCAGGGAGAACAACTGTGATAGTAATAGTGATTGTAATATATAGTGGCCGAGGCTATTTACAAGAGGAATTATAATGTTGCTTAATGGAATCTAGGTTAGACAAAAGAAAAAAAGAGGGATGTCAGAAGATACTAAATCATGAAAATAGAATGAGAATAATGTCCTAAAACTTACAATGAAATTAAATAATTGAGATACTGGGATTTTAAAGCAAGTATTACGGGAGACAGGAGGTTGTAGTTGGGAAACAAACTTCTAGAAATAAAATTTCAAGGTAGCCTAAAATCTGAAGATGATACATCTCGCAGGTGGCTGTATTAGTCCATTTGAGCTGCTGTAACAAAATGCCTCAGACTGGGTCATTTGTAAACAGCAGAAATGTATTGTTCACATTCTGGTGGCTGGAAAGTATAAGATCAAGTTGCCAGCAGACACAGTGTCTGTTGAGGGCTTGCGCTCTCCTTCACAGCTGGCACCGTCTTGCTGCATCCTCACATGGTGGAAGGGACAAACAGGGTTGCTCAAGCATCTTTTACAAGACCATTAATTCCGGTCATGCCCTCACCACCTCCTAAAGCCTCCACCTCTTAACCCTATCACAATGGCTGTTACATTTGAAAAAAATAATTTGTAGGGCACACCAACTTTCAAACCTTAATGGTGTCCATGGCAGTGGATAGATAGGTAACTTGGAGGGGAAGGAAAGATAAATGGTAAGACAGACTGAGGCAGTAGAGTGTTAGATAGTCAAGCTCTGCAGAGGTGGAATTCAGAGTGATTAATGACAGGCATTCAGGGAAAGGAGAACAAAGTCTTCAGTGAATTAGATGAAGTTAATAGAAGTTAAAAAATAAGAGTCTGGACTTTTAAATATAATTGTTGAGCTTTAAAAGCAATCTAGAAGTTGAAGCTATAAACAAAGCTACAATTATTCATTAAAGTACTATAAAACTAAGCAATCTTCTCATCTCAAATGTAGAGATAATTACATTTGATTTGAGATTACATAAATTGAATTTCAACCTTAGCATGATAAAGCCCTTTGAGAGTCTTAGAAGGAAGCTGCTGAATATATACAACTTATTACCATTAGTAGAAAAGCAAACTTAACCCTGAAATCTGTACTTGGAATGCATTTTATTTTTCTAATTTTTTATTTTAAGAGCAGCTGTAGTACAAAACACAATTCCGTTTAAATAGATACATAGTATAGTATTTAATATGACTTCAGATTTGCTTATTGTGCTTTATTATCTAAGTAAAAGAAAAAAAATGTCTTCCTTCACAAAGCAATAGATTTATTGTGCAAAGGCAAAGACCGCTTCAGTTTGAATTTCTTGCCAAACCAGATAATTAAAACATACAAACAAATGCTGATTTTTTTCATAGAATATAAATACTGATATAAGGAGACATACATTATTGGAAAGGCAATTATACACCAAGAGTTTGTCCAAAAGAGAAGATGCCATCTGGCGTTTCTAATCTGATGTATGACTAATCTGAGATTGAATTTATCACAGAAAAACCTGTAATCATAAGACCTTTGGAAAGTTCATATTACGCATGATCAGAAAGCATTAGCATCACCTGTGAATCAGGAATGCTTCTGCTCTAAGGAAAAGTCTCTTGATTCAAAACTTTTTCAATTTTTATTACCCCGGTTTTTTCTTCCCACAGTTTCCATCTGTCTGGCACAAGAAATCTTTGGCTTAAAAAACAAATAGCAGGATGAGAAAATCTTAGAGTACAAACTCTATACACAATGCATAAATAAAGTTCAATATATTTAAAATATTTTTTATTTTCTTTGAATTCCCTCCTAAATACTGGCTATATTTCTTTGGGTTCCTTCCTAAATGTGAGTATCAGCTAACATTATAAGACAAAACATGTAATTAAAAATTTGGTTTCATTGCTAATTATCCATTCCTGGAATTCTAGGCTGAAAGACAGTGCTTAGTTTTAATGTTCGAGTAAGGTGTTTCTAAAAAACATGCATCTGGAACAGTGATTTCTAAAGTCCAGGGTTATTTCCACAGACTTATATTCTTACCAGAGAAGTTTAGTCATTTACTGACATGGTAAATCATTTAGCTCTGAATTTTTGTTTCCTCTTCTCTGTGGAGGTAGATGACGTTAGATGAAGCAAAAGATGATTTCTACCACTCTTTATTCTTTGGATTCCAGTGATGTAACTTAACTCCAAAACTTATAAAAGAAAATGAAGTCCACTGTACAAATGTGCAACAGAAATAGGAAGGCTTTGGTTGAAAATTTGAGTAAAATAAAATTGACATCATATAATTCTAACAGTGCTATCGAAGCCATGCACCTGATAGCATTGCTGCTTTAATTCATAATTTATAAGAATGAGGAAGAGCTGGCTAACATGTCTGCATCTGTCAACCTTAATGTGTTATGATTACTAAAAATCTGTTATTAAGTGAAGAACTGCTAGTCGTCTTTTGTGTTTAGCAGACAGATCTTAAAAAAATGAGCCTAGGAAAGAGAAGGAATGCCATAGCGTTAAGAGCTCATCCTCTGAGTTAGATAAACTATGTGTTCATTCTGTCTTTCCCACTTTTAGGGGTGGGAAATCCGCTCCCCCTAATCCTCATATTTGTTTATAAAATATTATTAAATGAATAGAGTTTTGATAATTAAGTACATGTTATATAATGAAGTTTATGTTATATAATGAAGTATGAAGTAATGACCTTCATATAGTTGACCTCAGTATATTATGTGTACATACACATAATACATGTATGCGTATGTGTATGTATGTGTATACTTGTAAATGATTACTAGATATTCAAAATAGATTTTGCTCAGAGAATTTACATCACAAATATTATTCTACTCTGTAGCTTCTTCCATTAAAAAGGCATGTGCAAAATTCAAGTTCATAAAACCATTTCTTATGTAGCAGGAAAATCACCATCTCCACTATATTTTAAGGTTTTTAGAAAAATCAGTTGACATTAAGATGATGTATTAGTCTGTTTTTACACTACTATAAAGAGCTGCCTGAAACTGGGTAATTTATAGAGAAAAAATGTTTAATTAACTCACAGTTTCACATGGCTGGGGAGGCCTCAGGAAACTTACAATCATGGCAGAAGGTGAAGCAGGCACATCATACAAAGTGGCAAGTGAGAGAGAGACAGACAGGCAGGCAGGCAGACAGGCAGACAGACAGATAGAGGAAACCACCACTTATAAAACCATCAGATCTCATGAGAACTCACTATCACAAGAACAGCATGGGGGGAAACCGCCTCCATGATCCAAACACCCCGCACAGGTCCTTCCCGAGACAGACAGGTGGAGACTACAATTTAGATGGAAATTCAAGATGAGATTTGGGTGCGGACACACCAACCCATATCAGATGGTAAAAGAGATTTAATTTGCCATGTAAATACATCACAAATGTAATCTTTTACCTTTTTGTGTCTACTTGGCTGCATGTCATTCACTCTATACATTTATCTATCCCTTGGTCACTGCAAAATATAGAAGTGCCTACTAAACTGCATTAAATTACTCTCAGTGTGATTTTTTAAATGTGCTCTAATACTGCTTTAATCAGACTGTCTCAATAACCATAGCAGCTCATTGTACAGCTGTTAGATAAAAAGAGTTTTACTCAATTGCCTCGAAGTTTACTTGATTTTGGAACTTTGCATGTCGGAGTCACTGATAATGTTCTAGAAATGGTTTCTGCAAATTTGCAGATTAACAGACCATTTCTATGAGTTACTTATGTTTGAGTTCTCTAAATCTAATTTAAATAAGTAGCCGTTTTCCTCAAGGAGCAATTTTATAAAGAAGCAACTATTAATGGGGATCTGTATATGGATTGTTTAATGTGACTATGAAGTTTTAAATTTTTTTCTTAGAGAACAGAAACACCAAATCTTAACAATAAACCAAATAAACTTCTCAAATGCTTAAATTAGAAAATAAAATTAGATAAGCATAATAAAATTAGAAAAACATACTTTTATCTTGAAGAGAAATTATTTCTACTCCATAATTTGTTTTTAGAATAATTCCTAAATAACGGTTATTTACACATTCTACAGGAAATTATTCTTCTGTCTGCACATTGGTGGTTTCTAACTCTAGTTGGGGAGAAGGATTTTACTGACTGATAATCAGCAAAATATAAAGTAATGAGAATACACCACCAAAACTTGAGAATAACCAAGTGCTCTTTAAAACATACTGATACATAAATTCTCAAAATTTCCCCGTATTATTTTTCTGAGATTGTTTCACAGGCAGAATTCTTAAGTTTCTAAGTACTGTGATTTCAGCATTTGGCATCAGAAGAAAACAGCAGGCCTGAGAAGCTTCTACTTACAATATTGAAAAAGAAAAGTGAAGAACAGATTTTAGAAACAGAATATGGGGAATGTAAAGCCCCTTTTTCACTGCATCATATACAGACTATCTTAAATTTATTATTAATATATTAACAGATAAAGCCTTTTTAAATTATTTTTGGATTTCATGTTCTATCTAAATTCATAGTGGGCTTTGCTGCTTTGGGATCCATGTGATAATATTTGTCATACACTGTTTCATAGCTGCAAATTACGTAACATTTTCTAAGCACCCACTAAAGACAAACTTTCTACCATTCTCAGTGCCATTAAAGCACCTTGTACCTACATCTATACCTTAAAGTTTTTAAATGCCACCAGCCCATGAAAATGCAGCCCAGTTTTAGTCTGGCATGATTTGTAGATTTCTTTTTGGCTGCTGGGCTTGACAATTATGGATAAACTCCAATTTGTCAAAATACACATGATAAATTCTTACTAAGATAACACTTTTGTAGGGTAAAAAGAAACTAATTTATGCAATTGTATAAAATGATATTTTTAAAGCATATCACCCAGTGACCTTATCATTAGCCTTATTATTGCCAGCTTGTTCTAAAATGTTAACTAAGACTTTGGTCTCTCTGGCAGAGCAAGAAACTCCATGTGGTAGATAGAATCATCGTGGTTCTTCATGGCCTGGCTAGATGTGTGGATCTTTCCCAAAAGGAAAGGTAGGAGATAATTAATGGCTGGTTGCCATAATCTATAATATATGAATTACACAAATTGCCTAGAAATCCTAAATAAACCCAGGTTTTACACATTTTATAAGAAGATAAAACTTTACAGATATATCAAGTTTTATATGTAATGTTTAATACATTATACACTGTAAAAATTTAACTTTTAATACAGCTTAGGTTTTGTTTCTAATCCCAGTGCTTATAGACTGGATGGTTTCATCCCACCAAAATTCGTATGTTGAAATTCTAACCTCCAGTGTGATGGTATTAGGAGGTGCAGCCCTTGGTAAGTAATGAGGTCATGAGGGTGGAGCCCTCATAAATGGGATTCGTGCCCTTATAAAATAGATCTCAGAGAGCTACCTCCTCCCACCATGTGAGGACATAGCAAGAAGACATTTATCTATAAACCAGGAGGGCAGCCTTGACTTGACCTAGAATCTACTGGTGCCTTGCTCTCAAATTTTCCAGGTTCCAGAACTTTAAGAAATAAATGTATGCTGTTGATGAGCTCCCCAGTTTATAGCATTTTGTTATAGCAGCCCAAATGGATGAAGGCACCCTGTTTTTCAAGAACACAGTAAAATCTTGCTATAGCATGATAATAGAGAGAGAGAGACTTCTAAAGGGAAAGCATTTTGAAATGACTAGTGCAAAGTAGGTCATTACCATTTTTTGCAACATAGAGCTAGTTAATACTAATTTTTAAGCTGGCTTTCAACTCCAGCTATCCAGGTGCCACACATGTTGTTCCAGGAGCTGTCATCTGCCCTAGGGATTTTCCTCTTATTATAATTTAGCAGTATAAGTAAAGCAGACATTTATTTAGGTTGGTGCAAAAGTAATTGCGGTTTTGTCATTGAAAGTAATGGCAAAAGTAATAGAAACATAATTTTTCTGTGTCTGTTAACAGAGAAAGAATTAACTAAATGTATCTTTGTGCTTCTTTAGACAATAATGCAATACAGTAATGAGGCAATGCCTATTGCTTTAGGTGGAGGCAATCTTTCTTATTCTTTAATAATTCTGAGCAGAAATTTCAGCTCAACCGATACAGCAAATAGCATTTCCCAAGACATTTATTTGCTTTCTGGCACAACTGTTGGTGATAATCATTCAGCTGGTTTTCTTCCATAGAGGAGATAATATTAGCAATGCTGCCCAGTCCCTGAATTGTTTCAAGTAAGGAAACTTTTATAATGAGGAAATCAGTTCTATGTTGTGAATTACAAATAAGGTTAAATGAGACCCATACTTAGTTTATGGGGTGGCAGAGTGGAGAGAAAGAAAAAAAATTATTAGCTGTTGACAAACAGGCAGGAGGGCTGTCCTACTGAAGACTATGCTAACCACACAGCATAGGATAAAACTCATTTAGAGCAGGTGTGAATGGTGGGGGAACAAGTCTGGGTTTGATTTTGACATAGGGTTGATTTTTCAGCAATAAGTTAAATTAGGAGATCTACTACCAGCAACCCCCAGGGTCTTCTTGTCAACCATCATTACCAGAGCAATATCCAAGTGAGGAGTGGGTTTTGGGTCATATATCCAGGGAGAAAAAGATAAATTAATATTATAAAGCTGTTTAGTGGGTGCAGCTGACATTTTCCAGTATTTGGTGACATAGATCTAAGAAGGTTAAATTTACGCCTATAAATATAATGGCAAAATGGGCTTTGGCATAGGCTTGGTCTAGTGTATAGCCTGAAAATAAGGGAAATCAATGAATAAAACCCCCTATGATAGCAAATACAGCTCCTATTGATAGGACATAGTGAAAGTGGGCTACAACATAGTATGTGTCGTGTAATACAATGTCTAATGATGAGTTTGCCAATACAATGCCGGTTAAGCCCCCCATGGTAAAGAGAAAAATAAAGCCTAAGGCTCAAAGTATTGCAGGGGATCACTTGGTATTGCTTCCGTGAAGTGTGGCGAGTCAGCTGAAGACCTTAACACCGGTAGGAATTGCAATAATTTTAGTGGCAGAAGTGAAGTAGGCTCATGTATCTACGTCTATACCCAGTGTAAACATGTGACGAGCTCATACAATAAAGCCTAAGAACCCAATTGATATCATAGCTCAGACTATACCTATGTACCCAAATGGTTCTTTTTTTCCTGAGTAATATGTTACAGTATGAGAGATTATTCCAAACCCAGGTAGAATGAGGATATAAACTTCAGGGTGACCAAAGAATCAGAATAGGTGTTGATATAATATGAGATCTCCTCCGGCTGGATCAAAGAAAGTCGTGTTGAGGTTACAGTCTGTTAGTAGTATGGTGATGCTGGGAGCTAAGACTGGTATAGAGAGGAGTAGCAGGACTGCTGTGATTAGGACTGATCAGAAAAATAGGGGAGTTTGATACTGAGATATGGCAGGGGGTTTTATGTTGATAATAGTGGTGATGAAATTGATAGCTCCTAAAATAGAGGAGATGCCTGCTAGATGAAGTGAGAAGATAGTGAGATCTACAGAGGCCCCCAGGTGGGAGAAATTTCCTGCCAAGGGGGGATAAACTGTTCAACCTGTCCCAGCACCGGCCTCTACTATGGCGGATGCGAGTAGTAGTAGGAAGGAGGGGGGAAGAAGTCAGAAGCTTATGTTATTTCAGCGGGGAAATGCCATATCAGGAGCACTGATTATTAGGGGTACTAACCAATTTCCGAAGCCTCCAATTATAATGGGTATTACTATAAAGAAAATTATAATGAATGTGTGAGCTGTAACAATAACATTGCAAATATTAGCTAATTATTAGACCAGAAACTATGAAAAGGCTTTTCTAGTGAAGCTCCGGTGATGTTTCAGCTGGAGATCCTTGTGGTGAACCCCATCACCAGGCATTTATCTTGGCAAGGTTTGTCCAAGTCACCCTATGAAAGGAATTCTGTTGACTCACTCTGATTGTTTGAAAACCATATAACATGAACCACATAATGGGAGTACTTCCCAAATATGTTTATATCACTATACACAGAAAATGTGACATTTATAGGCCACACTAGGGTTAACAGACAAGCCTGTCAAGGTTAAGGTGGGTGGTGGTGGTCGGGTGTGCTATAAGGTCTTGAACCTGGCCATCCTGACATGGCTCCTCTACCTACTTGAGATATCTCATCCATCAGATGATATCTCAGGACTCTAATTAACACTGCATATGTACTGCAAAGAATCCAAAGCTCTTCTTTTTCTGCAGCAACCATATTTTTTAAGGGCTATAAGCAGAACATTTTATAATGTAAACCTGGTTCAAATCATAGTACTTGAACATGTTATTTTGGAGTTTCCGAAAGATTCAACATTTCAGATGCTTTAGGAAACAATAGTGCTAATGAATTCAAGGTAGATGATAACTTTCTCTACCATAAGACTTGTAAAGTGTGTCCACACTTTACATTAAGAAATATTAAGTCATTAAGAAGTATTCATACCTCAGGCCGAAATATTTTAGAAGAATCCTGCTGATGATCGCTGTATCAGTCTTGGCACGTGGGTCTGTTTTACCCGTTGCCAATATCATAAATGCTCTTAAATTTTTTCACGTGAACAAATGGAACCTGAATATATTTACATGTGGATTCCCAAGGGCGAAGTGAAAGAAAGTGAGCCATTTTATTAGTCTTGCGTGTCTCTCCCCAATCCCCTACCCTGTTGTTGTGGCTAACAATAAAGCATCTCCAGTATTACTAATGAGACATGCTGGAGAAATTTGGGGACATATCATTCATGTTCAAATCATCCTGGTATTACCCCTTTACAGTTTATGCCAGGACAAGGGTTATACAATAGAAACAGAATGAATACTCTAGTATTTTGAGCTACTATTGGGGAGCAACAAACATGACCTGAGGAGGGAGAAAAAAGACATCATGACTGTCTTCAAAGTTGCTTTCTCTTTCCTTTTTCTTTCCTTTTATTTGCTTTTAATTTAATTAGCGAAGGCCAGGATCTGAAAGAGCTGCCAAGAGAGACTGCTCTATTGATAAAGTAGAGAGAGAAAGCAATTTAGGAATGAGAAATAACCACAGCCTTGGCTGTGTTCTTGTGCAGAAAACCATCTTTTTTTTTTTTTTTTTTTTTTTTTTTTTTTTTTTTTTTAGCAGCCTGAGTAGAAAGAAACATAAGTACCATTAACAATTTAGCTTCTTCAGGAGTAAGAAACCTTCATTATTTTAATAATTTTTCTCAGCCAAGAAGCACCCAAAGGCATTATGAAAGGGGTGATAACTGATGCTTTTTAATCTGTAAGTGAACATTCTGCAGGAGAGCTGCCAGTTCTGGCACCTGGGTAGAACGCAGAGACAAGGAGGAAATTTCACCACCTCACAGAGCACAAAGGGCAGAATGGAGACCAATTTTATTTCCTCTCTGACCTACCAGTTTGTTTCCTTTTTTATCTACCATATATAGGTTTCATTTACTACCTTTTAAATACATTGACTTAGTTTATATCTATGTAGTCATACAGGATTATTGACTTAGTTTATGTCTATGTAGTCATACAGAATTATGTTTAAATGACATTATTCATAGATCTAAAACAGTTCATGGTAACAAGCATATCAAAAGGCAAGCATATCATGCAGCGTGATGACTAGACCTAATAATATGTTGCATACTTGAAATTTTCTGGGAGAGATTTCAAGTGTTCTCACCACACAAAATGGTTACTAGGTAAAGTGATGGATATGTTAGTTTGTTTGGGGGTACTCATTTCACTATGTATATGTGTGTCAGAACACCACATTATATATTTTAAATATATACAATTTTTATTTGTCAATCACACCTTAGTAAAGCTGCAGGCAGGGACGGTGTGGGCAGGGGATAGAAGCATATCAAAAGTTTGTAACATGTTCATCTAGGCTACTGTTTTCAGTGTCATAAAAAATTGCAAAATAATATAGACACATAGCTAATTTAGTGGGTATTGTACTTTGTCTTTGAAACTATTCTTTTCTCAGAAGGCTTTTTATACAGC